TTAGAAAGGGGCCACTAAAGATATATCACTGCACAAAGATTTTTAAATTAATGAATTTACAAAATTTCAGATCTAAAGCATTCTGCCATAAAAGTCTTGATTTTTTGACCATATACCAAAAACACATTCATCTCTGAATTCAATGACAAATGTTAAACATGTAAATATGCACAGAAAACTGCAAAAGGTAAATAAAAAGGACAGAAATCTTGCTTATATATGTAACAGATGTACATACCTACTTTCATAACCAGTGATCTAGAAGAACACATACAAAACTGTTAACAATTGGTAAGGTATTTGAATTTCCTTAATTTTTCAAAGTTATCCAAATCTTCTTCAATGTTAACATATACAGATCTGTTTCAAAAATTGTAAAATGCTTTTTTTATTGTTGTTCAAGTACAATTGTCTCCATTTCCCCCCACTATACACCCCAGCCCAGCCATGCCCACCTCCTCCCCAGATCCCATTCCTACTTGGTTTGGTCCATGTGTCCTTGTAGTTCTGAGTTTTCCCTTAGTTGTTTGTGTGTTCACCAATTAAATTAATCAAAAGTAATTTATAAAACACAAGTGAATAATCTTTAAGGGAAAGCCATTGTGTATTAAAAATATTGCAGGAATAGAAATATCCTAATGATAATGTTCAGCATTTATTAGTATTGCCTTAAATGATTCAACATTTATTTTAACTGTATGGACCTGTATATATTAATTATCTTGAGTAGTTGTGGAAATGGAAACATTGAAGTCAGTGATTTATTAAGGCTTACACGTCTAAAAGAGGAGTAGATATGGAATACAAATCTTCAAATGTATGGCTCCAAAGACAGTGCTCCTAATTACTCTGCTACATTTCTTTTCTGTATAATACATGACATGATTTCTGAAACTATTACCAGTGTGCAAAAACTGAGCTCTGTTTCATAACAAAATTGTCTGTCATTGGAGAATGCATGGTAAATTCTGTGCTGTATTTTAAAATAAGACATTCATATTTTCTCACTTGGTGGATAAGTTGCCCTTCAAAACAATGGGCCATGCTTTTAACACATATTTTATGGCTTGTAATTATAATATGAATTTCAAAGGACATGCTTTTGGAGATGTCCAATATTATATTTGTTTAAGTAAAGAATGGTTCAACAGAAATAGAAACAAATGAAAGCACTTCATTGCTTTTTGGAGAGAACAAGAAAATACTCCACAGGAAAGAAAAGTTAACTATTTAGAAATGATGTTACTTTAATTGCCTGAAGTCCTGTCTCTTCTGCATGAGTCTGATGAGAGCATTTTTTCACTTCTTTATTTCTAAGGCTGTAAATGAGTGGATTCAGCATGGGAATCACAATAGTATAAAACACAGAAGCCACTTGATCTTTGCCCAAGGTATAGGACTTGCGTGGTTTTAAATATGTAAAAATTGTAGTGCCATAAAAGATGGTGACTCCCAGGAGATGGGAGGCACATGTAGAGAAGGCTTTTCGCTTTCCTGAAGTGGAAGTAATTTTCAGTACAGTAGCCAGAATGGACAGGTAAGACACAGATATTGTGATAAGAGAAACCATTAAAGTAGAGCCAGCAAAGATGAATATCATGATTTCCACACCATGTGTGTCAGTGCAGGACAGGTCTAGGATTGGGGAAGTGTCACAGAAAAAGTGATGGATTATATTGGAGTCACAGAAATCCAGTTTGCTAATGCAAAGAACATTGGCAATGGATTCTGTAAAGCCAATGAAATAGACCCCAAATATGAGGGAGTAACAGAGTCTTCTGGACATAACAACAGAGTAGTGCAGAGGATTGCAGATAGCTACATAGCGATCATAGGCCATTGAGGAGAGAAGAAGACATTCAGTGGTACCCAAAGAGATACAAAAGTACATTTGGGTGAGGCAGTTTATGTAGGAAATGTGCTTCGTGGAGGTCAGTAAGTTCTGTAAGGTTTTAGGTGTGATGGCTGTTGAGTAAGTAAGGTCAAGAAATGATAGGTGACTGAGAAAAAAATACATGGGAGTGTGAAGCTGGAGATCCAGGTGGATGATCAGTATCATCCCAGTGTTTCCCAGCACACTGACCAGGTATATGATGAGAAATATGGTACAGAGGATCAACTGGATCTCTTCAGATTCTGTCAGCCCCATAAGGATGAAGTCAGACACATGTGTGTTATTCCTTCTGTCCATTCTGTGCAACTGCTTCAAACTGTGGAGAAATAAAGGTGATACCTGGCAGGAATGAGTTCATAAATGTTGACTTATATATTAAATTAGTATATAAAAAATTTATAATAAGAAGTGGTTTACAGAATGTAATAGGGAATATAAATTTGATCACAAAATACAGAAATGGGCATATATTGACCCTTGGGCATGATATAATAAAAACTATGATTTTGTGTAATTAGAGTAAGCCTTACACTCTTCCAAAGGCTTTTTCTTATTAATATAGTTAATTCAAATGAGAATATTATGTTAGCAGTGTTACTATTATCCACTTTTTTTAAGTGAGATAAAGGGAACAGATTGTTTGCATAACTTAATGAGAGTCACAGCTATTAAATGTTGACTCTCTCATTCTACCAAGATAGAGAGACTTCAGAGAATAGCCTCATTTTACTGTGTTTCTCTTTATAGTTTCAGAAAATGTAAAGAAAAATGGTTGATGTATAATAATAATAGAAAAAGTATTTTAATGCATCATTTACTGTTCTTTTGTTTAGAAAATTATTTAATTGTAATCACAAATAAATTTCAAATGTAGGAGATCAAAATTACAGACCACATATTAGTATTAGTTTCCAGAAGATATGTTTTCTGAGGTATAATATTCAAAATCTAATTTCCCCCAAAATATATTTTTAAAACATTTATCTTACTTGTAGAATATAATTTCATCAGTGCTATACTTCTGGTCTCACAGAATCTGGCATTACTTGGGGGTAAAGTTTAAGTGATATGTGTAAGTATACTTTTCTGGTAATACCCTATTTTATCTGATCTTGAATAAAACTCTTAAATTTTGAAAGTAATACTTACCAAGAGCCAAAGATGGTTGAAGAAAAACAAACCTTCTTCCAATATTATCAGGCAAGAAACTTGTCACCTCAATTTTTTTCTCACAAATAAAATATGAAAACTATTTGAGTCAAAAAATTTCTATAATACACAGTTTCCTTAGAGTTAAATTATTTACAAATTTTTGGCCACTCATCTTGTTTTATTCTGAGTTTAAAAAGAGGAAATGTCAACTTAGAATTTTGTGAAGGCACTGGTCACACAGAAAATCTGCAGGAAGGTGTGCCTGAAAGGGAATTCAGGCAGCTATTGTGAACACAAGTGGAGCAGAGTATGTCTGGTCTGCCTTCCAGGGCACCTCATAATACCTGAGGATTCAGGATAACACAACATTGCTCTTCCCTGGGGACCAGTCTCCAAGGAAGCTTTTCTGGCATGTTTCCAAGGACAAAAGCTGAGGGACTAAATGCAACTATGTCATGTTTTGAGGAAATAGTTGCCTTTTCCTTAGATGGCACACAATGAAGAGCCTGGTTTCATTCTCTTTTGTGATCCTTTAAGTTTTTAACTGGGTTGGTGGAGAAGCCATTGATAGAGACATCTGCAATTGCTCTGTCACTGAAACCATCAGGGATGGATTAATTCATTTTTCACAATGAAACACTTTTATGTTCACATGTGTGATACTATCACACTATCACTGTTCATTAGAAAATAAGTAGAATGCAAGAAAATTCAAAGAACAAAATGAGAACAGGTGTGAAATGTTGGAACATTTTGAGCAATTCCCCCCAATGACTTTTTAGCTTTATTAATGCACATGTATGAATCTACAGTTTTGCATAATTACTACTACACTGTATGGTTAGCCTCCAGCACCCATTTTTTGACCAATATTCCGATGACACATTATGACCAATGTTATATCAGCCTTTGATAAACCCACAATGTCTTGTTTTGTGCATATACTTGTGTCTAATCACCAGCTTCTCTCTAATGGGTCATCAGTTGACAAGTGTTTTAAAGCATCACAAGGAAAATGCAGTGTCGGCCGCCATTTTGATTTGTCAGTCACCCCACTCTTCTACATAGCAGTACTTTTACAATTTGTTTAACTATTTTGTTGTCCTCTGTATATAATCAAGTGTTTTCTGCTTTTTTTTCAAACTGTATCCAGCTTTATTAAAGATACTTTTCATAAACACTCATGGTATTTCGGGCAGGACATAGGCAGAAATTGTTAACAGTATACAACAACTTTCAAACTCCCTTCTTCAGTGGACTGCTGAAATCAGAAAGCCACTACAAAACCCAATGGAGTCTTCATCTGCTGCTCTGAACAGGGGGAGTTTAGAGTGGGGGTTGGCATTTCACATTAGCATGTTGTTTAACAGCTTTTCACCTACTGATGCTGACTTTCAGGAAATGCAATGAAAATGGCAGAATTATCAGTCTGTAGGTCCACAATGTAAAAAGGGAGCTGCTGCTCTTTTGAGGGACACCATGTCCATGGTAACACTGGAAAGTTCAGATTGCTGAACATACTGGTAACCAAGCTTTTGGGAATTCAGGTTTCAACACGTTTCTGGGCTTTAGGGAGTCAAGTCTATGCTTAAAGTGGAGAGGGAGAAAAGGACATAAAAAATAATTTTAGTTTTCCCACACCACAAGGTGTCTGTGCCAAGGTGGCAACATCAATGTTTGCCAATATTAAGGGATCCCTCCTCCCAGGAACCAAGAGGAACTCGCTCAAAACTAGAAGGGAAAAGTGGTCTTTTTCCCTATGTCAGTGCAGCTTTGCAGACATTCTATTAATATTACATGTACTTCCTTCAGAAACAATAATGAAGTGTTCTGGGTGCTAACAATATAGCTTAAAAAAAGTGAAACAAACTCCTGAATTATTATAAAACTTGATAAAAATAGTATTTCAAACTGTACAGTCACAGAATTCACAGTTATCAAACATGCACACACTTCACTTGGCCTCTCCACCACCTTCACCTTTCTGTGCCTGGTCTGTTTTGGCATCTCCATTCTCTGCAGGGTTATTCCCATCCTTGCCAGCATCAGTCTTTCCCTTTTTCTCTGTGGGTACCTTCTCTCCCTTCTTGGCAGGGTCCTTTTTAGGTTTGGGCTCTGGCTTTGGAGGAGTAGGTTTGGCCAATAACTTGGTGGATCTTCTCTGTGGTTCATCCTTCATCTTGGCTTTATCTCTTTGAAAATGCCCCTCAGCCTTTCTCTTGGGCATAATGGCAATGGTAGTGGGATATTCAGGCTGGAGGTGGGAATGCAGCAGTGGGTAGGCTTTGGTGGAGCCAGGGGTCATTCTTGCCTCCTCTTCACACTACTAGAGCTGCAGAAGTGGGTTATAAAGTTTTTATACATAATCAAGTGTTTTCTTGTACATGAATTTAAAATATATGGAAAGAAAGCTACAATTTTATGTTGGGAATTATTTTTCCAAGATGTAGAAGCAAAGGAATAATTTGAAAAGATATACACTGCTCCCTGGCTGGTGTGGCTCAGGGGATTGAGTGCTGGCCTGCGAACCAAACAGTTGCTGGTTCAATTCCCAGTTTAGGGCACATGAGTTGCAGGCCAGGTGCTCAAGTGGGGGTGTACAAGAGGCCATTGCACACTGACGTTTCTCTCCTCTTTGTCCCTCCCTTGCACTCTATAGATAGATAGATAGATAGATAGATAAAGAGATATATACTGAAAATAAGTTTAAAATATTCTTGTGACTATTGGGTCACTTCATAAACATGAAATCATTCTTCTTGCAAATATAAAAGTGCCTCTGTTTGCCTTGGATGTGGGGTGGTCTCGGTTATTTGGAGTGTCATTCCATACAACAAAAAGTTTTGGGTTCAATCCCTTGTCAGGGTAGAAAAATTGGTTGCATATTTCATCCCCAGTAGGGGCACACATAAGAGGCAACTAATTGATGTTTCTATGTCACATTGATATTTCTCTCTCGTGTTCTGTCTTTCCTTTACTTCTTTCAAAAATCAAATAACATTCACTTTGGTGAGGATTTTTAAAACATCTATTAAAAGGAATTATTTAAGGAAGTCTGTTAATACTCCAGGAATTCAGAAGATAACTTTTGGTGTGGATAAAGATCCACTTTTTAAATGTTATTTATTTTTTTTTTCCATTACTATTTATCCTCCTTATACCCTCTTGCATTCTACCCACTCCCTCCAAGGTAGTCACCACACTGTTGTTCTTGTCCATGGGTCTTTTGTGTTTTTGGCTCAATGCCTTCAACCCCCAAATCCAAAACAGTGGTCAACTTCCTCTCTATGAATCTGTGTCTATTTTGCTTGTTAGTTCAGTTGAGTGAAATCATATGGCATTTGTCTTTCTCTGACTGGCTCCTTTCACTTAGGATAATGTTCTCCAGGTCCATCCATGCTGTAGCAAAGGTAAGATTTTCTTTTTTTATGGACAAGTAGTATTTTATAGTGTAAATTACCATAGTTATTTTATCCATTCAACTACTGATAGACACTTAGTTGACTCTTTTGAATTAATAAAATAAAAAAAATAAAGTTCAGTTCTAAAAAATACTGATGCACATTATTTAAATAATTGCTTCTGTAGAGCAAAAGAAACCATGAACAAAATAAAAAGGGTTCCCATTGTATGGAATAACATATTTAGCAATGATACATCTGAAAATGGATTTAATCTCTAGGAATATGGAAAACTTACACAACTCAACACCAGAAAGTCAAACAACCCAATTAGGAAATAGTCAAAAGACCTGAATAGACACTTCTCCAAAGGAGGACATACAGATGGCCAAAAGACATTTGAAGGAATTTTCAGTGGCACTAATCATCAGAGAGATACAAATTCAAACCACAGTTATGAGATGTCACCTCACACCTATCAGAATGACCATCATCAATCAATCAACAAACAACAAGTGTTGGTGACAATGCAAAGGAAAGAGAACCCGTGTGAAATGTAGGTGGGAATGTAGACTATGCAGTACTATGGAAAACAGTATGGAGTTTCCTCAAAAATTTAAAAATGGAATTGTCTTTTGACCCAGTGATCCCACTTTTTGCTCATCAAGATGCAAAGATAAGGGCCCTGTTGATAAGACCATGGTATGACCTTTTGGGTAAAAAATGGACAATCTAATATATATTGGTGTGTACTTTTGGAAAACTTCAACAAATTGTACACGTGTAATTTGTACAGATTTTAAATGTCAAGTATACTTTAATAAAGTGGTTTACAAAAATACACATATGTGGAAAATGAAAAAGCATGCTTTTACATAACCCTGAAATAACTAAAAGATAATAGATATTCCAGATTATCTACAGGAGAAAAATGGAATATAAATGACATTTTAGCATTCTGCCTAAGTTCTAGTTTGCCACAAAATTTTTCAACTCTAAGCTTTAAAACATGTCTTGTAGAATACTAAACAAATGTGTCAAGAATTTAGTTTAAGAATTTATTTTTAATGACCACAAGAAGCCTGTATACATTGAGAAAAAGGCAATAAATTTTAACATACGCAGAATATCAAAAGGAAGTTTACTGAGATTTATTGCTACATCACAAAAAGGTAAAGATTTAACATTTTTAGAAAGGGGCCACTAAAGATATATCACTGCACAAAGATTTTTAAATTAATGAATTTACAAAATTTCAGATCTAAAGCATTCTGCCATAAAAGTCTTGATTTTTTGACCATATACCAAAAACACATTCATCTCTGAATTCAATGACAAATGTTAAACATGTAAATATGCACAGAAAACTGCAAAAGGTAAATAAAAAGGACAGAAATCTTGCTTATATATGTAACAGATGTACATACCTACTTTCATAACCAGTGATCTAGAAGAACACATACAAAACTGTTAACAATTGGTAAGGTATTTGAATTTCCTTAATTTTTCAAAGTTATCCAAATCTTCTTCAATGTTAACATATACAGATCTGTTTCAAAAATTGTAAAATGCTTTTTTTATTGTTGTTCAAGTACAATTGTCTCCATTTCCCCCCACTATACACCCCAGCCCAGCCATGCCCACCTCCTCCCCAGATCCCATTCCTACTTGGTTTGGTCCATGTGTCCTTGTAGTTCTGAGTTTTCCCTTAGTTGTTTGTGTGTTCACCAATTAAATTAATCAAAAGTAATTTATAAAACACAAGTGAATAATCTTTAAGGGAAAGCCATTGTGTATTAAAAATATTGCAGGAATAGAAATATCCTAATGATAATGTTCAGCATTTATTAGTATTGCCTTAAATGATTCAACATTTATTTTAACTGTATGGACCTGTATATATTAATTATCTTGAGTAGTTGTGGAAATGGAAACATTGAAGTCAGTGATTTATTAAGGCTTACACGTCTAAAAGAGGAGTAGATATGGAATACAAATCTTCAAATGTATGGCTCCAAAGACAGTGCTCCTAATTACTCTGCTACATTTCTTTTCTGTATAATACATGACATGATTTCTGAAACTATTACCAGTGTGCAAAAACTGAGCTCTGTTTCATAACAAAATTGTCTGTCATTGGAGAATGCATGGTAAATTCTGTGCTGTATTTTAAAATAAGACATTCATATTTTCTCACTTGGTGGATAAGTTGCCCTTCAAAACAATGGGCCATGCTTTTAACACATATTTTATGGCTTGTAATTATAATATGAATTTCAAAGGACATGCTTTTGGAGATGTCCAATATTATATTTGTTTAAGTAAAGAATGGTTCAACAGAAATAGAAACAAATGAAAGCACTTCATTGCTTTTTGGAGAGAACAAGAAAATACTCCACAGGAAAGAAAAGTTAACTATTTAGAAATGATGTTACTTTAATTGCCTGAAGTCCTGTCTCTTCTGCATGAGTCTGATGAGAGCATTTTTCACTTCTTTATTTCTAAGGCTGTAAATGAGTGGATTCAGCATGGGAATCACAATAGTATAAAACACAGAAGCCACTTGATCTTTGCCCAAGGTATAGGACTTGCGTGGTTTTAAATATGTAAAAATTGTAGTGCCATAAAAGATGGTGACTCCCAGGAGATGGGAGGCACATGTAGAGAAGGCTTTTCGCTTTCCTGAAGTGGAAGTAATTTTCAGTACAGTAGCCAGAATGGACAGGTAAGACACAGATATTGTGATAAGAGAAACCATTAAAGTAGAGCCAGCAAAGATGAATATCATGATTTCCACACCATGTGTGTCAGTGCAGGACAGGTCTAGGATTGGGGAAGTGTCACAGAAAAAGTGATGGATTATATTGGAGTCACAGAAATCCAGTTTGCTAATGCAAAGAACATTGGCAATGGATTCTGTAAAGCCAATGAAATAGACCCCAAATATGAGGGAGTAACAGAGTCTTCTGGACATAACAACAGAGTAGTGCAGAGGATTGCAGATAGCTACATAGCGATCATAGGCCATTGAGGAGAGAAGAAGACATTCAGTGGTACCCAAAGAGATACAAAAGTACATTTGGGTGAGGCAGTTTATGTAGGAAATGTGCTTCGTGGAGGTCAGTAAGTTCTGTAAGGTTTTAGGTGTGATGGCTGTTGAGTAAGTAAGGTCAAGAAATGATAGGTGACTGAGAAAAAAATTACATGGGAGTGTGAAGCTGGAGATCCAGGTGGATGATCAGTATCATCCCAGTGTTTCCCAGCACACTGACCAGGTATATGATGAGAAATATGGTACAGAGGATCAACTGGATCTCTTCAGATTCTGTCAGCCCCATAAGGATGAAGTCAGACACATGTGTGTTATTCCTTCTGTCCATTCTGTGCAACTGCTTCAAACTGTGGAGAAATAAAGGTGATACCTGGCAGGAATGAGTTCATAAATGTTGACTTATATATTAAATTAGTATATAAAAAATTTATAATAAGAAGTGGTTTACAGAATGTAATAGGGAATATAAATTTGATCACAAAATACAGAAATGGGCATATATTGACCCTTGGGCATGATATAATAAAAACTATGATTTTGTGTAATTAGAGTAAGCCTTACACTCTTCCAAAGGCTTTTTCTTATTAATATAGTTAATTCAAATGAGAATATTATGTTAGCAGTGTTACTATTATCCACTTTTTTTAAGTGAGATAAAGGGAACAGATTGTTTGCATAACTTAATGAGAGTCACAGCTATTAAATGTTGACTCTCTCATTCTACCAAGATAGAGAGACTTCAGAGAATAGCCTCATTTTACTGTGTTTCTCTTTATAGTTTCAGAAAATGTAAAGAAAATGGTTGATGTATAATAATAATAGAAAAAGTATTTTAATGCATCATTTACTGTTCTTTTGTTTAGAAAATTATTTAATTGTAATCACAAATAAATTTCAAATGTAGGAGATCAAAATTACAGACCACATATTAGTATTAGTTTCCAGAAGATATGTTTTCTGAGGTATAATATTCAAAATCTAATTTCCCCCAAAATATATTTTTAAAACATTTATCTTACTTGTAGAATATAATTTCATCAGTGCTATACTTCTGGTCTCACAGAATCTGGCATTACTTGGGGTAAAGTTTAAGTGATATGTGTAAGTATACTTTTCTGGTAATACCCTATTTTATCTGATCTTGAATAAAACTCTTAAATTTTGAAAGTAATACTTACCAAGAGCCAAAGATGGTTGAAGAAAAACAAACCTTCTTCCAATATTATCAGGCAAGAAACTTGTCACCTCAATTTTTTCTCACAAATAAAATATGAAAACTATTTGAGTCAAAAATTTCTATAATACACAGTTTCCTTAGAGTTAAATTATTTACAAATTTTTGGCCACTCATCTTGTTTTATTCTGAGTTTAAAAAGAGGAAATGTCAACTTAGAATTTTGTGAAGGCACTGGTCACACAGAAAATCTGCAGGAAGGTGTGCCTGAAAGGGAATTCAGGCAGCTATTGTGAACACAAGTGGAGCAGAGTATGTCTGGTCTGCCTTCCAGGGCACCTCATAATACCTGAGGATTCAGGATAACACAACATTGCTCTTCCCTGGGGACCAGTCTCCAAGGAAGCTTTTCTGGCATGTTTCCAAGGACAAAAGCTGAGGGACTAAATGCAACTATGTCATGTTTTGAGGAAATAGTTGCCTTTTCCTTAGATGGCACACAATGAAGAGCCTGGTTTCATTCTCTTTTGTGATCCTTTAAGTTTTTAACTGGGTTGGTGGAGAAGCCATTGATAGAGACATCTGCAATTGCTCTGTCACTGAAACCATCAGGGATGGATTAATTCATTTTTCACAATGAAACACTTTTATGTTCACATGTGTGATACTATCACACTATCACTGTTCATTAGAAAATAAGTAGAATGCAAGAAAATTCAAAGAACAAAATGAGAACAGGTGTGAAATGTTGGAACATTTTGAGCAATTCCCCCCAATGACTTTTTAGTTTTATTAATGCACATGTATGAATCTACAGTTTTGCATAGTTACTACTACACTGTATGGTTAGCCTCCAGCACCTATTTTGTGACCAATATTCCGATGACCCATTATGACCAATGTTACATCAGCCTTTGATGAACCCACAATGTCTTGTCTTGTGCATGGACTTGTGCCCCATCACCAGCTTCTCTCTAATGGGTCATCAGTTGACAAGTGTTTTAAAGCATCACAAGGAAAATACAGTGTTGGCTCCCTATTTTGGTTTGTCAGTCACCCGACTCTTCTACATAGCAGTACTTTTACAATTTGTTTAACTATTTTGTTGTCCTTTGTATACAATCAAGTGTTTTCTTTTTTTTTCAAACTGTATCCAGCTTTATTAAAGATACTTTTCATAAACAATCATGGTATTTCAGGCAGAACATAGACAGACAATTGTTAACAGTATACAACAACTTTCAAACTCCCTTCTTCAGTGGACTGCTGAAATCAGAAAGCCACTACAAAACCCAATGGAGTCTTCATCTGCTGCTCTGAACAGGGGGGGTTTAGAGTGGGGGTTGGCATTTCACATTAGCATGTTGTTTAACAGCTTTTCACCTACTGATGCTGACTTTCAGGAAATGCAATGAAAATGGCAGAATTGTCAGTCTGTAGATCCACAATGTAAAAAGGGAACTGCTGCTCTTTTGAGGGACGCCATCTCCATGGTGACACTGGAAAGTCCAGATTGCCCAACATACTGGTAACCAAGTTTTGGAGGTTCAGGTTTCAACAGATCTCTAGGCTTTAGGGAGTCAAGTCTATGCTTAAAGTGGAGAGGGAGAAAAGGACATAAAAATTAATTTTAGTTTTCCCACACCTCAAGGTGTCTGTGCCAAGGTGGGTAATGTGTGTCAACATCAAGAAGTCTCTCCTCCCAGGAACCAAGAGGAAGTCTCTCAAAACTAGAAGGGAATGGTGTTTTTTCCCTATGTTAGTCCAGTTTTGCAGACTTTCTATTACTAATATTTCATGTCCTTCTTTCAGAAACAATAATGAAGTGTCTGGGTGTTAACAATATAGCTTAAAAAAAGGTAAGACAAAATCTTGCATTTTTATAAAACTTGATAAAAATACTATTTCAAACTGTACAGTCACCAAAAATACACTTCACTTGGCCTCTCCACCACCTTCACCTTTCTGTGCCTGGTCTGTTTTGGCATCTCCATTCTCTGCAGGGTAATTCCCATCCTTGCCAGCATCATTTTTTCTGTTTTTCTCTGTGGGTACCTTTTCTCCCTTCTTGGCAGGGGCCTTTTTAGGCTTGGGCTCTGGCTTTGGAGGAGTAGGTTTGGCCAATAACTTGGTGAATCTTCTCTGTGGTTCATCCATCATCTTGGCTTTATCTCCTTGAAAATGCCCCTCAGCCTCTCTCTTGAAACTGATGGCAATGGTAGTGGGATATTCAGGCTGGAGGTGGGAATGCAGCAGTGGGTAGGCTTTGGTGGAGCCAGGGGTCATTCTTGCCTCCTCTTCACACTACTAGGGCTGCAGAGGGGGTTGGGGTATAAAGTTTTTATGTATAGTCAAATGTTTTCTTGTATATGGATTTAAAAAGTATGGAAATAAAGCTATAATTTTATATTGGGAATTATTTTTTCAAGATTTAGAGACAAAGGAATAATTTGAAAAGATATACACTGCTCCCTGGCTGGTGTGGCTCAGGGGATTGAGTACTGGCCTGCGAACCAAACAGTTGCTGGTTCAATTCCCAGTTTAGGTCACATGAGTTGCAGGCCAGGTTCCCAGGTGGGGCTGTACAAGAGACCATCACACACTGATTTTTCTCTCCTTCTCTTTCTCCTTCCCTTGCCTACTATAGATAGAAGGATAGATAGATAGATAGATAGATAGATAGATAGGTAGATAGATAGATAGATAGATAGATGATAGATATATAGATAAAGAGATATACACTGAAAATAAGTTTCAAAAATTCTCGTGAATATTGGATCACTTCATGCACATGAAATCATTCTTCTTGCAGATATAAAAGTGTCTCTGACTGCCCTGGTGGGGGTGTCTCAGTTGTTTGGAGTGTCATTCCATACAACAAAAGTTTTGGGTTCAATTCCCTGGCAGGGTGGAAAAATTGGTTGATTATTTGATCCCCAGTAGGGGCACATATAAGAGGCAACTAATTGATGTTTCTATGCCACATTGATATTTCTTTCTGTTGTTCTGTCTTTCCTTTCCTCTCTTTCCAAAATCAATAAACATACTCCTTGGTGAAGATTTTTAAAACACCTGTTAAAAGGAACTTTTATAGGAAAGTCTGTTAATGCTCTAGAAATTCTGAAGATAATTTTTGGTGTACATAAAGATCCACTTTTTAAATTTTATTGTTTCTTGTTTTTTTTTCCATCACTATTTATCCTCCTTATACTCTCTTCCATTCTACCCACCCCCTCCCAGGTAGTCACCATAATGTTGTTCTTGTCCATGGGTCCTTTGTGTTTTTGGCTCAATGCCTACAACCCCCACATCCAAAAGAGTGGTCAACTTCCTCTCTATGAATCTGTGTCTATTTTGCTTGTTAGTTCAGCTGAGTGAAATCATATGGCATTTGTCTTTCTCTGATTGGCTTCTTTCACTTAGCATAATGCTCTCTAGGTCCATCCATGCTGTAGCAAAGATAAGGTTTTCTTTTTTTTATGGAGAAATAGTATTCCGTAGTGTAAATTGCCATAGTTATTTTATCCATTCATCTACCAATGGACACTTAGTTGACTCTTTTGAATTAATAAAAAAAAATAAAGTTCAGTTCTAAAACTAATGACGCATTTTTTAAAATAATTGCTTCTGTACAGCAAAAGAAACCACCAACAAAATGAAAAGGGTACCCACTGTATGGAATAACATATTTACCAATGATACATCTGACAAGGGGTTTAATCTCTAGGAGCATGGAAAACTTGTACAACTCAACACCAGAAAGGCAAACAACCCAATTGAGAAATAGTCAAAAGACCTGAATAGACACTTCTCCAAACCGGGACATACAGATGGCCAAGACATTTGAAGAAATATTCAGTGTCAGTAATTATCAGAGAGATACAAACTCAAACCACAATTATAAGATGTCACCTCACACCTCTCAGAATACCCATTATCAATAAATCAACAAACAACAAGTGTTGGTGACAATGTAAAAGAAAGTGAACCCTTGTTCTCTCTTTGTGAAAATGCAGACTATGCAGTGCTATGGAAAGCAATATGGAGTTACCTCAAAATTTAAAAATGGAATTGTCTTTGACCCAGTGATCCCACTTTTCGCTCATCAAGATGCAAAGATAATGGCCCTGTTGATAAGACCTTGCTATAGCCTTTTGAGTAAAAATTTGACAATCTAATATATATTGGTGTATACTTTTGGAAAAATTCCACAAATTGCATACATCAAATATGTACAGATTTTAAACGTCAAGTATACTTCAATAAAGTGGTTTTCAAAAAAACACATATGTAGAAAATGAAAAAGTATGTTTTTCAATAACTCTGAAATAACAGAAAAATATAAGAAATTCCAGATTATCTACAGGAAAAAATGGAATATAAAGGACATTTTAGCATTCTAACTAAGTTCTAGTGTGTCACAAAATTGTTCAACTCTTAGCTTTACATGTCTTGTAGAATACAAAACAATGAATCAAGAATTTAATGTAAGAATTTATTTTTAATGACCACAAGAAGCCTATAAATATTGAAAAAAAGACAATAAATTTTAACATACACAGAATATCAAAAGGAAGTTTACTGAGGTATATTGCTACATCACAAAAAGGTAAAGATTTAACATTTTTAGCAAGTGGCCACTAAAGATATATCACTTATCTGGTTATATCACTGCACAAAGATTTTTAAATTGATGAATTTACAAAACCTCAGGTCCAAAGCATTCTGTCATAAAAGTCTTGATTTTTTGACCATACACCAAAAACACATTCATCTCTGAATTCAATGACAAATGTTAAACATGTAAATATGCACAGAAAACTGCAAAAGGTAAATAAAAAGGACAGAAATCTTGCTTATATATGTAACAGATGCACATACCTACTTTCATAACCAGTGATCTAGAAGAACACATTCAAAACTGTTAACAATTGCTAAGGTATTTCCATTTTCTTAATTTTTCAAAGTTATCCAAATCTTCTTCAATGTTAACATTTACAGATCTTGTTCCAAAATTGTAAAATGCTTTTTTTTTATTGTTGTTCAAGTACAATTGTCTCCATTTTCCCCCCACTACATCCCCCAGCCCATCCATCCCCACCCACCTCCCAGGATCCCATTTCCACTTGGTTTGGGCCATGTGTCCTTGCAATTGTTGTGAGTTTTCCCTTAGTTGTTTGTGTGTTAGTCAATTAAATTAATCAAAAGTAATTTATAAAACACAAGTGAATAATCTTTAAGAGAAAGCCATTGTGTATTAAAAATATGGGAGGAATAGAAATATTCTAATGATAATGGTCAACATTTATTAGTACTGCCTTAAATGATTCAATATTTATTTTAACTGTATGGACCTGGATATATTAATTATCTTGAGTAGTTATGGAAATGGAAAACTTAAAGTCAATGATTTATTAAGGCTTACTCAGCTAAAAGAAGAGTAGATACAGAATACAAATCTTCAAATATTTGGCTCCAAAGACAGTGCTCCTAATTACTCTGCTGCATTTCTCTTCTGTATAATACATGACATGATTTCTGTAACTATTGCCAGTGTGCCAAAACTGAGCTCTGTTTCATAAGAAAATTGTCCGTCATTGGAGAATGCATGGTAATTTCTGTGCTGTATTTTCAAATAGGACTTTCATATTTTCTCATTTGGTGGATAAGTTGCCCTTCAAAACAATGGGCCATGTTTTTAACACAGATTTTATGGCTTGTAATTATAATATGAATTTCAAAGGACATGCTTTTGGAGATGTCCAATATTATATTTTTTAAGTAAACAATGGTTCAACAGAAATACAAACAAATGAAAGGACTTCATTGCTTTTTGGAGGGAACAAGAAAATACTCCACAGGAAAGGAGAGAAAAGTTAACTGTTTAGAAATGATGTTACTTTAATTGCCTGAAGTCCTGTCTCTTCTGCATGAGTCTGATGAGAGCATTTTTCACTTCTTTATTTCTAAGACTGTAAATGAGTGGATTCAGCATGGGAATCACAATAGTATAAAACACAGAAGCCACTTGATCTTTGCCCAAGGTATAGGACTTGCGTGGTTTTAAATATGTAAAAATCGTAGTGCCATAAAAGATGGTGACTCCCAGGAGATGGGAGGCACATGTAGAAAAGGCTTTTCGCTTTCCTGAAGTGGAAGTAATTTTCAGTACAGTAGCCAGAATGGACAGGTAAGACACAGATATTGTGATAAGAGAAACCATTAGAGTAGAGCCAGCAAAAATGAATATCATGATTTCCACATCACGTGTGTCAGTGCAGGACAGGTCTAGGATTGGAGAAATGTCACAGAAAAAGTGATGGATTATATTGGAGTCACAGAAATCCAGTCTGCTAATGCAAAGAACATTGGCAATGGATTCTGTAAAGCCAATGAAATAGGACCCAAAGATGAGGGAGCAGCAGAGTCTTTTGGACATAACAACAGAGTAGTGCAGAGGATTGCAGATAGCTACATAGCGATCATAGGCCATCAAGGAGAGAAGAAAACATTCAACAGCACCCAAGAAGATAAAAAAGTACATTTGGGTGAAGCAGCTTATGTAGGAAATGTGCTTCGTGGAGGTCAGTAAGTTCTGTAAGGTTTTAGGTGTGATGGCTGTTGAGTAAGTAAGGTCAAGAAATGACAGGTGACTGAGAAAAAAGTACATGGGGGTGTGAAGCTGGAGATCCAGGTGGATGATCAGTATCATCCCTGTGTTTCCCAGCACACTGACCAGGTATATGATGAGAAATATGGTACAGAGGACCAACTGGATCTCTTCAGATTCTGTCAGCCCCATAAGGATGAAGTCAGACACATGTGTGTTATTCCTTCTGTCCATTCTGTGCAACTGCTTCAAACTGTGGAGAAATAAAGGTGATACCTGGCAGGAATCAGTTCATAAATGTCAACTTATATGTTAGATTAGTATATAAAAAAATATAATAACAAGTTGTTTACAGAATGTAATGGGGAATATAAATTTGATCACAAAATACAGAAATGGGCATATATTGACCCTTGGGCATGATATAATAAAAACTATGATTTTGTGTAATTAGAGTAAGCCTTACACTCTTCCAAAGGCTTTTTCTTATTAATATAGTTACTTCACATGAGAATAGTATGTCAGAATAGGAGTGCTATTATTATCCACATTTTTTTAAGTGAGATAAAGGGCACAGACAGTTTGCATAACTTATTGAGAGTCACAGCTATTAAATGTTGACTCTCTCATTCTACCAAGATAGAGAGACTTCAGAGAATAGGCTTATTTTACTGTG